AAAGTAAATCATGACACCACATAAAATATAAAAAGGTGTAACAAATTATCCAGTTTAATAAAATAAATGAACACTAATAAAGTAACAACTGACTCCAATATTTTTTTCCACATCATGCTAAAGTTTTCAGACTATGAGCCATTCACACTGCCACAAAGGACTGATTATGAAAAAATGATGGACCGAATTAATAAAACGAATGAGAATGATCTTTTACAAAGCCTTTTTTATTGCCAGGATTGGCATTGTCGATGTGGTTAGCTAGCTAGATACTGAAGCTGTGTAAAACTTTATAAAGGAATGGTTTTACAAGCTTAAAGCGAAGATATATATATATATATATATAAAATCGGCACTGGAGAAAATGTATGGTGCAGTTTACTGTCACGTCTGCAACGTGACTATTGCACATCTGTACATTGTGATATTACAACAGAAACGATGTGACGTGCATCCATCCATACAGTATTCTTCATTTACACCGATTTACAATGCCAAATGCTTTTGCATGTTCCAGGTAAAATGTTGGTCCAGATCAAGTACAACGAACAGCAGAAGTGTGTGAAGCTGGATTGCATTGAAGGGAGGTTTGACTTTATGCAATTTCCCCTAAAAGTTTTTTTTTTTCACTCGATTAAAATAACTAAGAATTTGATTAAAATCTGATAAATTCTGTGTATTATCCTAGCTCTCATGTTGTTGCCTCATTTCTGTATATGCCTTTATCATATGTTTTATAGAAGGGGATACATTGAAAAAAATCATAAAATTTAGCTTGCATCATAAAGATATATGTATTCAACTCATTTCAAGTCATTTGTTGTGAAGCAAGAAAGGGTGTCAACTTAAAAAAACAAAAAAAAATTCAGTCATTGAGAGATTTTGCTTGCCACCTGATGCAAAAGTTATATACAAGGATGCAACATGGACAGAAGTCGATGCAGAAATATTCAGCGACCTCAATGGACAAGGCAATGTGGTGCTGACTGTTTTCTCAAATGATGGTGAGTTTTATTGAATGTGAAAGAAGTCTAGTGTTATCAAGCAACTCAGGATAAATATGATAAATTAGCTATTTCTTATTTCTGATTCTTGTGCTGGTCATCACAATATTTGTAATATTTTAATACTTTAATTCTTTAGAATTTTCAGACTCTTTGTCTTCCATATCTGTGAAGTCTGACAATAGCAACGGTTCAAGTGCATCGACTGTAATCTTAGATGAGGTCCCTAACAAGAGACAAAGAAAAGAGGACACATCTGCACTGTCTGCAAAACAGGTTAGAACAAAGCTTTTTACGTGAGTCTCCTTAAGGTTCTGTTCACCCAGAAATGAAAATGATGCAAATGACAGAATTTGTAGTAATTTATGAATCACCAAGGTCATTTTTTAATTTTATTATTATATTATTTTTTAATTTTTAGTTGGTCGAAGATGTTCTAAAACTGAAGTCTGGTGGTGAAGCAGTACTACAGGAGTATCAAGAAACAGAAACCCTTACAGATGCCACAAGAAGACAAATGATGAACATACTGGTGGCTCACATGATTGATACACATGGGTATTTAAAAAAAAAAAATTTTAACAAATAACTGCATGACCATTGTGTAAATTGAGACCAATTTGATATCTTCCCTTAGGCAACTCTACTAAAGCTATCAGAGAACAATATGCTGTTGGAATAGTGATGCTGTTCCCTTCCCTTAGAGATCCATATTCCAAGAAAGGCTATGTAAGTCACTGTCTGCATGACCCTTTCATGTTATACTTGCAATGTTATTTCTGTGACATAGAAATTAGATTATTTTAAGGAACACTTTTATGATGCTGCAAGCAACACAGGATACATTGCTTGGCGTATGAAAACAGTCCACAGGAAGATTCGACAAGGATCTTTGCCACTAGACAGCCCTCGTGATGTTTCTCCAGGAGGCCCAAAATGCCAAAGGGCTACTAATTTTGAAGGGCAACTTCATGGGGATGCTTGCAGAGAGGCCATGTCTTTGCTCAACCATACCACAGACAAGTCCCTAATATTCCAAAAGATGAGAGAGACCTTTCAGCATCGCCAGAAGCTTGTTAAAGATCCAGGCTCTAGTGCTGATATCCTCTCCACCTTCCCAAGATTCCTAAATACAAAAGGGCTGGTAAGTTTGGAATAATATGTTTTCAAAGGCATGCATGCAATATTTGAAAATATTGTTTATATTTAATATCTTCTTAAAGGTGGATCAAGACTTCACTCTCCTGTTTGACGCTGAGACATCCTCCAGGCTGCTTCAGAAGTGGGACACGTTTTTCAGGCCAAATGTCATTAAAGAGGCCAAGCAACTTACTTCAAAAGCAGAGCTGAGTCAGTTGCTGCTCTCAGCAGAATGTCCTGAAGGAAGTGACCTTCATGAAACAAGTATGTTGTATTTGATTCACTTGTTTTTACGCATTTGCTATATTTGCAGTTACAGTTACTATATGTTTTGTTTTGATGACAAAAATATTAAAATTAGCAAACTTCACAACCTATGAGATTGGATGTTTTCCGGATTAATAAAAAATAATTAAATAAATTACACCACATAAAAAAAGTCTTTAAAAAGACTACATAAACACATCAGGTGAATGTTTAAAATGCTCTCTATTCTTAAACTTAAAGTATTTCATTTGAAGTTTTACATTAATTAATTCATGTGAATTTCGTCTCCAGTCTACGACCAGGAAATGGCATCCCTTCTTTTACGGATACATCTCCTTCCACCATCACACCATCAAGTCTCCAAAAATCAGTGCATGTGATGCTGCTGAAAGACTTCATCTTTCATAGGGTATTGACATTTTAATATTGTGTTTTGGGTTGCTCAAACATGGA